GGATTTACACCTGGGTCTCCTGATCCGAGCCTGACATTATACCCGTGACACTGCAGTGGCTAGCCTACGGCAGGTTACTCACGCTCGCCGTGGGTCCCGGTGGGGCTCCGTGTCTGGGAGGGCGAATATCCTCCGAGTGGGGGTTGGCGTCACCCGGGCCAGGCGTGGCTCTTTGCTCTGTAAGAAGGAAAAGGAGAGGAACTGATGAATGGGCCCACGGGGGGGGGGGGGTTTGGGGGATGATGCTGTTGTTTGTGTTCTGGCCAGGAGGGGGCGTTGGCTCAGAGGCCAGCTGGAGACCTGGAAAGCTTTGACTGGGCCGGTGGCCTAGAAAGAGAGGCTCCGCGCGAGTCTCTTGACAGTAGCCCAGACAGCGGAGCCACTTCTGGCTCCTAGGATTTTACCCGTGCTTAGGGACGCAGACGAATGCCTAGAAAGCTGTGGCCAGAGACAGCAAGGATAAAGAAAATGTGAGAAACGGGGGGCAAGGGGTGGGGGGGAGAATCCCACAAAAGTGGGACATCCAACCCACGTCTTCCTTGAAAGCAAACGATGGCACGAGGGATCTCCCACCTGAGGGATCCCCCCATCCGGCCACCAGAAACCCCCTGGCGGTCGAGCAAAGCCCCGCTGCAACTGAAGACCCACAAAGCTAGCCAACTAGCAAGCAAGGTAATCAGCCAGCCACACCCTCTGACGGGCAGAGGCTCCTACCGGGTCACCAGCTGGCTCAGAAGGGGCACTCCTATTGGCTAACCCTGGGCCAATGGGATTCTTGTTCCACTTCTGTAAGAGCTCCCGGATGTCTTGCTGTAAATATATAGACAGTGAAGGGTGGGGTGGACAGGGAAAAAGAGAGAGAGAAACAGACAGACAGAGAGGGCAAAGCCGAGAGAAAGTGATGGCAAAATTTGCCCCTCAGAATCCCGCCTCAAGAAACCCACCCTGCCAGAGCCAGTTTCCCCCCATAACGGAGTCCTCAAGGCTGCTAAATCTAAGGTGGTAAAAGTAGAAATAAAAAAGCAAGAGAAGGGCAGCAAAAAAAGCCTCTTCATTCTAAGATAAAAATGAAGTGAGCCCGTGAGCACTTCTCTCTTCCGCTTCTCTGGTTCCTGCAAGCCAAGGGCACTTCCTTTCCTATTTCTTTTCCTTTAATTCACCTAATGGTTCCCGGTATATAAGCTGCAAAACAGAAGGTGCCGGGCCCAAAGTCTGGCTGCTTCCCGAGCAGAGTCCTTGTAAAGGTAAAGGTTCCCTTGCTAGAAAGCCAGTCGAGTCCGACTCTAGAGTTGCGGTGCTCATCTCCGTTTCAAAGCCGAAGAGCCAGCGCTGTCCGAAGACATTTCTGTGGTCATGTGGACGGCATGACCAAACGCCAAGGCGCACGGAACGCTGTTACCTTCCCACCGAAGTGGTACCTATTTATCTACTTGCAATTTCTTGCTTTCGAACTGCTAGGTTGGCAGGAGCTGGAACTAGAGACGGGAGCTCACTCCGTTATGCGGCGCACTCGGGTCTCAAACTGCTGAACTACCGACCTTCCACAGCCTGCAGTTCAGCATCTTAACCACCTGAGCCACTTGGGCCTCCCGTTAAAACCAACTGCTGGTGACTTCCTAAGGGAGGGAAAAGCACCCAGGGCATGCTCAGAGAGTCCCAATTTCACAGCTTCTATGCCAGATCTGGCAAACGTAGCAGCAGCGCAAGGCTATTTTGCTGGCTGAGAAATTAATCCCGCTTCCCGCGTAGCTGTCTGCACACCACCCCGCGATCCCCTGAACTCCCTCCCCACCGCTCCCGAGATTTCTCCAAGCACGGTCCATTTATTTTCAAGCATATCTGTGCGGCCGTTGGGGCCCGCGACTCGCACTGCTTCTGAGATTTCTCCATGTGTCTTCCGGCTTCTGTGCACTGCCGTAATGGAGGCACCGATCAGATCCGATCAGGTCTAGCCAAGACGGCCAACGCTGAGCCCTGCATTTACATGGTGCCACTGGACACAAGTGGATTGCATCTAGCACTGCCTGTGTCATTGCCGGCTCCTAGGCCACGCAACGCTCAATTATAGAGACTTCAAACAGGTGTGACCACCCCTTCAGAGCCAACTGGGGTTTCCCCCCCTTTGTTCCCGTACACTGCCGCCCTGCTGACTTCAAGAACACTACGGCTTATCTCCTCGTGGGACGTTCCTCCCCCAGGCTTACCTTCTCTTCTGTGTCCAGCCGAGGACTGGACGCTGACCTCTTGATGCCGCTGCCCTCCTTGGCAGCCCCGTCCTCCAGCCTGGCGTCCTGCAGCACCCCAAAGCTGCTGGTCTTGCGCAGACTCTGCCTCCAGACCGCGGGGGCTTGCGAGTCCTCTGGTTCCATTGTGCGGCTGCAGCCCCCGGAGAACTGTACGTGGGAGGGGGGGCAAGTGGGTGATGGAGAGAGAGAGAGAGAGACAGAGAGACAGAGAGGAAGTGGGGAGAATCAAGGAAGGAACGGGAGTCAGGACGGACGGAGGCTTGGAACAGTGGAGTTGGAGCGGACGAGGGGGATGTAAACCGGGCGGAGCTAATGCAGGTAGGTTCTGGCATGCCCATGTTGTGACAGGAACACCATTGAGAGCCCATATGTGTCCAGTGCTCCGCCAGCTGCACTGGCTTCCAGTTGAATACCGGGTCAAGTGCAAGGTTTTGGTTTTCACCTTCAAAGCCCTGTGCAGTCTGGGACCAACACGCCTTCAGCACTGTCTCTCCTGCTATGTCCCAGAAGAGCACATGGGTCAAGATCTGCTGGTGGTCCCCAGCCCCCCTGCACTCTCTCCTGGTATGTCCCAGAAGAGCACAACACCCGATGGATCAAGATCTGCTGGTGGTCCCCAGCCCCCAAAGCTATTTGCCTAGCCTCACCTGGAGCCAGAACCTTCTCGGCTCTGGCACCGGCCTAGTGGAACGCTCCCCCTGCTGAGATCCGGGCCCTGTGGGACTTCATGCAGTTCCGTGGGGCCTGTAAAACGGAGCTGTTCTGCCAGGCCCCCTGGTTGGGGTGGCAAAGAGCTATCGACTTATTTCTGCATTGCCCTGCATCGCTTTGCATGGCCTGTGGCGTGCTGTTCATATGGTCTGTCTGCCCCATCCGCACCACCTGCCATCCACCCGCACACAGGTGGGACGCCTATACGGGAGCAGATGGCGTTGGAGTGATGGGATGATGCCATCGATTGCTACTGCTGCTATTTATTGGTGTCATTTTATTATTGCTTATTGGTTAACGGCGAGGCTTTAGAAGTTGGGGTTGTGATAGTTGCTTGTTCTAGCCTGCCCTGAGCCTGCTTGCGGGGGAGGGCAGGCAAGAAGCCCAACAGATAAATAAATAAAAATGGTCACCGGTGACTCCACAGCAGCAAGCAAGAACCACTGGAGTCCTACCTGCCGGGGGAGGGGGGAATAAGAACATAAGGCCCATCCAGTCCAACACTCTGTGTCACACAGTGGCCAGAAATACCAGATGCCATCAGGAGGTCCACCAGTGGGGCCAGGACATTAGAAGCCCTCCCACTGTTGACCCCACCCCCACAAGCACCAAGAAGACAGAGCATCACTTGCCCCAGAGCCCCTATCTATACCTTGTGGCTAATAGCCACTGATGGGCCTCTGCTCCATATGCCTATCTAATTCCCTTTTGAAGCCGTCCATGTTTGTAGCCGCCACCACTTCCTGTGGCAGTGAATTCCAAGTGTTAATCACTCTTTGGGTGAAGAAGGACTTCCTTTTATCCGTTCTAACCCAACCGCTCAGCAATTTCATGGAGTGCCCACGAGTTCTTGTATTGTGAGAAAGGGAGAAAAGTACCTCTTTCTCTACCTGCTCTTTCCCATGCATAATCTTATAAACCTCAATCATGTCACCCCTCAGTCGTCGTTTCTCCAAGCTAAAGAGCCCTAAGCACCTTAACCTTTCCTCATAGGGAAAGTGTTCCAACCCTTTTATCATTCGAGTTGCCCTTTTCTGCACTTCTTCCAAAGCTATAATATCCTTTTTAAGGTGTGGTGACCAGAACTGCACACAGTATTCCAAATGAGGTCGCACCATTGATTTATATAGCGGCATTATGATATTGGCTGATCTGTTTACAATACCCTTCCTAATAATCCCCAGCATAGCATTGGCCTTCTTTATTGCAGTCACACACTGTCTCGACATCTTCAGTGAGTTATCTACTACAACTCCAAGATCTCTCTCTTGATCAGTCTCTGCCAGTTCAGACCCCATCAACGTGTATTTATAGTTAGGATTTTTGGCTCCAATGTGCATCACCTTGCACTTGGCCACATTGAACCCCATTTGCCATGTTGACGCCCACTCGCCCAAAATTGACAGATCCCTTTGGAGTGCCTCACAATCCTCACTGGTTTTCACCACCCCGAACAACTTTGTATCATCCGCAAATTTAGCCACTTCACTGCTTACTCCCATCTCCAAATCATTAATGAACAAGTTAAAAAGCAGTGGACCAAGTACTGATCCCTGTGGTACCCCACTGCTTACACCCCTCCACTGGGAGAACTGCCCATTTATACTCACTCTCTGTTTTCTATTAATTAGCCAGTTTTTGATCCATAAAAGGACTTGTCCTTTTATCCCATGATTTTTGAGCTTGCTTAGGAGCCTTTGATGAGGAACTTTATCAAAAGCTTTCTGGAAGTCAAGGTAAACAATATCTATTGGATCCCCCTTGTCCACATGTTTGTTCACCCCCTCAAAGAACACTAACAGGTTAGTGAGACAAGATCTTCCCTTACAGAACCCATGTTGAGTCTGCCTCAATAGGTTTTGTTCATCTATGTGCCTACTAATTCTTTCCTTAATAATGGTTTCCACCAATTTACCCGGTATCGACGTCAGACTGACAGGCCTGTAATTTCCCGGATCTCCTCTGGAACCCTTTTTAAAGATGGGAGTGACATTAGCTACCTTCCAGTCCTCAGGAATGGAGGCTGATTTTAAGGAGAGATTACATATTTTTGTCAGGAGATCCACAAGTTCACAATTGAGTTCTTTCAGAACTCTTGGATGTATGCCATCTGGGCCTGGTGATTTATCAGTTTTTAAGTTGTTTATCAGTTTTAGGACCTCCTCTCTCGTCACCTCAATCTGACTCAGGTCTTTCAACACCCCTCCCGAACTCAGCGGCTCTGGAGTGGGCAAGCACCTCTCATCTTCCACAGTGAAGACGGAGGCAAAAAATGCATTTAGCTTCTCAGCCATTTCCCTATCATCCTTCAGTACTCCTTTTACCCCTTGGTCATCCAAGGGCCCCACTGCCTCCCTGGCTGGTTTCCTGTTTCTAATGTATTTGAAGAAAGTTTTATTGTTGGTCTTTACATTTTTTGCTATATGCTCCTCATATTCCCTTTTTGCATGCCTGACCACAGACTTGCATTTTATTTGCCATAGCCTGTGTTCTGTTTTATCAGCCTCACTGTGACTAGCTTTCCACCGCTTAAAGGAATCCTTTTTACCTTTTACAGCTTCCATTACTTTGTTTGTTAACCATGTAGGCTTTTTCTTATACCTGTTTGTGCCTTTCCTAACCTGCGGAATATATTTTATTTGAGCTTCTAGAATTGTAGTTTTAAACAGTTTCCAAGCTTCCCCAATGGTTTTGACCCTTTCTACTTTTCCCTTCAGTTTCCTCCCCACATGTCCCCTCATATCAGAAAAATTACCCCTTTTAAAGTTAAAAGTGGTTGTGGGGACGTATCCTCTCGGGGGGGGGGGGGGAGCAGAGCTTCCCAGAAAGCAACAGAGTCTCTCCAGAACGCGGTGTCCGATCCCGTGCCGGGGAACAGAAGCCTGGAGCCCTTTGCCCAACGCGTTCCACCACATGGTCTCATTCCCACTGAAACCTCGGCCTCCCGGGGAATAGAAGCCCGGAGCCCTTTGCCCAACGCGTTCCACCACACGGTCTCATTCCCACTGAAACCTCCGCCTTGGCTTGCCGGGATTACCCATTCTGAGAGGATGCACAATGAAGGGAAAGGAGTGGACGCGCAGAGTCACGGCTCATTAAGAGCTGGCTTTCCTCAAGGCCCTGATCCAACTCGCCTGTCTCTAATCTAGGAACTCCGTAGCTCTGCAACGACCCAGCCCTGTTCCTCCCTCAGAAAGCCTGCTGGCCAGATGAAGCCCACCAAACCTATCCTTCGTTCCCTTCTGTGCTCTTCTATACATGCGGGGAGGGGGGGGATGAGTCACAGGTGCACACAAGGAAAGCTACGTTATCTTTCTGTATCAGTACACTGGAGAACAGCAGTGCCACCCCATTTTTAAAAATGGAGGAGCGCTAGGCAACTTGGCAGTTAGAGGAGGTCGCCGCAATCATGAGGAAAGATAGTCAAACCCCAGGATTTGGGCCTGGTCGTCCCGCAACTTTGACAGGACAACTCTAAGGCTGCCCCTAAGCCCATCTGATCTGGAAGGAGACGGCTCAGCTTCCGGGGGAAAGAATTTTAGGACCCTGATCCCCACTAATGGAGAAAAGAAGGATTGGATTTATACCCCACCCTTCACTCAGAGAGGCTTACAAACTCCTTTCCCTTCCCCCTCCCCACAACAGACAATTTGTGAGGGAGGTGGGGCTTAGAGAGCTCTCTTGAGAACTGCCCTTTCAAGGACAGCTCTTGTCAGAACTTCTGACTGACCCGAAGCCACACCAACAGCTGCATGTGGACAACTGGGGAATCAAACCCGGTTCTCCCAGATTACAGTCCGCGCTCCTAACTACTACACCAAACTGGCTCTTAACCACTACACCAAACGGATGCCCAGGATATGCTTCTGAACACATGAAGCGGCTGTATACTTGAGCCAGACCCTTGGCGTATCAAGGTCACTGTTGTCTATTCTGATTAGCAGTAGCTCTCCAAGATCTCGGGTCAAGAAGACCTTCCACATCACTTGATCCCTGGAGATGCTGGGGATTGAACCTTGGACCTTCTGCTCGCCAAGCAGACGTTTTACTAAAGAAACACAGCCCCCTCTTTGCAATGCTCCCTCTAAGCTGTGGAGTCTCGTGAGCAAAAATTCTAGTTTGTGAGCTACTGGTATTAAAGCTGTGAGCGAGCGATTGGGCTGCTGCATAAATCGGTTTGCTCTGGAGCCCTCCTTCCTGAGCCGAGACAAAAAACTGTGAGCCGGAGGCTAAAAAACTGCAAGCTAGCTCACACTCACTCAGCTTAGAGGGAACACCGTTTCCCACACACACACACACTCACTGCATCTCTCTCTCCATTCTCAGGCACCAGAACAATCCCTGTCTTGCGCAGGCTTTGCCTCCACATGGAAGGCCCGAGAGGGCTCAGGATGGGCAGCACGGGAGTGATGAAGGCAAACTGCGGCTGGGGGAAACGAAGGAAGGGGGGCGGGTGGGGCACGGTCCGGCAACCGACGGAAGGGGAAAGATGCAAGGAGGCCGGGGGTGGTGGTGGGGAGGACAGAAGAACAAACAACAAAAAAAGTCCAAAGTATTTCACACGACAAAGAGAGAAAAGTGACATGCGGTGGAAAGAACTGCCCGGCAGACATCGGAACGGAGCGAGAGAGAGCCTGGTTAGGGTCCGATCAGAACAATCACCCGAGACTGTCTGGGAGGCTGCCGCCTGCCTCTGCGTGACCGTCTCCATGCTGGCACCCCACGCGGGACAAAGGCCAGCCTCCCCTTCCCCCAGTAAGCTGCAAGCAACAGCAGGTAAGCATGCAAGACGAAGGTGTTGGTGGGCTGACAGAGATGCTACCAGCATGAACGCAGCACATGCTGCAGAGCTGCAGGGAGGAGTCATGCAAGGATTCGTGCAAGGCCAAGGGTGGTGGTGGGGGAGAAGACGCCCAGTTCCGAACAGGAGAGCGATGCCCACGACAGAGCCTCGGTCCCGGGGCTCCCAGCTTCCACAGAATCAGACCCCCAAGTGCAGCTTTCCCACTCCAAACCTGGGGTTTGGTGGGGGCCCTCCACCGCTTCCTCTCCTCCCCGGGGAGGTGGTTAAGAGCTGCTGGGCCAGAGGCTCAGCCCCACCCAAACGGCAGGGGAGAGACAAGGAGGTGAGAAAGCGCAAAAAACGGCCTCCAGACTTGCATCCCACGGGATGAATGACTGAAAAGTGGGGGGGAAGCTACCGGGGCCTTCCTCGAAATGCACAGGTCCCGCCGTCCTCCGCACACAAGCTCCGACACAGGCTGTTTCGTGAGAGCGCGCGGGGCTGACCTGGGATGGGAGGCCACCAGCAGCCACCGCCAGCACATTGAGCACTCCGCTGTGGAAGGAAGAGACAGGGAGCCACGCCAATGGCTTCCTATCCTTATCTCCGGGCTGCCGAGGTGCTCGTGCCGGTGTGGAAAAGGAAAGCCTTACCTTTTGTGTGGCAGAACTGGGAGGGACAGGGCTGACGGGGGGCACAGAGACTCCGTTCACCGCACTGCTGTCCGTTGGGGGGCTGGCCTTGGCCTCTGTAGGGGATGGGAAACAGTTGTTATCCGACCCGTCATCCTGGTCTTCCTTCACTCTGGATTGAGAGCCTCCTGTGTGCACACCCCGCCTACCGCTGGAATTTGGAGCCTCCTCTCCATCTGAGGCCGAGCTGGTCTCCTCCTCACCGACAGCGATGGTGCCCAAAGTCTTGCGCTCCTTCGATTGGTCCTGGACAGAGATCTTCTCTTTGCTGCTCATGCGACACACGGAACTCCTGGATTGGGAGAGGCGGAGGTTCAATGTGGAAGGCGATGCACAGAAACCACTCTCTCACTGCTCCACTTTGACCAGGATGGACTCCGTCACAGACTGAACCATTATTACAGGGCTGGAAGCTTCAGAAATGCTGATGACCTCTCACTGCCAATAACCAGTTTCCTTATTTTTCATCCTATTTGGACTATTATTGCATTTTTTCTTCTCCTTTTCCTTCCACAGAGGTCGTAGGCAATGCTCCCTCTAAGCTGTGGAGTCTCGTGAGCAAAAACTCTGCTTTGCGAGCTGCTGGCATTAAAGCTGTGAGCGAGCGATTTGGCTACTGCATAAATTAGCCTGCTCTGGAGCCATCCGCCCTGAGCTAAGCCAAAAAATGTGTGAACCACAGGCTAAAAAAACTGTGAGCTAGCTCACACTAATTCAGCTTAGAGGGAACACTGGAGGTTGACACCCCCACCCCTCCAATTTTATCCTCACAATAACCCAGAGTGAGGATGTGACATCAGGTCTCTCTGCCCAGGTGAAGACACTGGCTAATGAATGAAATGGAACTGGTTACGAGAAGTAGGGTCTGTAGGTTACATGGATCTACGTCTGGCACTGGTCTCTCGTACCATGCATCTCATGCTCCAGAGGTTCAGCATGGCAGAGGCACACGGAACACTGCCCTTTTGTGGGCGCACTGCTTAGAGCTCTGAACCAAGCTGGGCTTTGGTTTGCTGAAGGAGGCCACAGTGATCCCTCTTTGAATTCATGGCACTGTCAGTCAGTGCAACTTGGAGTGAACAGGCGTTCCCTGCTCCGAGAAGGATCTGTCATGCTGCTACTGTCTGCGGAGCAACAGGCTCCTGTAATTGGCACCAATTCAACGCGTAACCACAAACGGTTGGATTGCAGGACTCGACATCTGCAATTTGTAACAGTAAACACTTCTGCGGGAAACTGAGCTGAGGCCATTCCTGTCCTCCAGGCATCCTCAAGGAACACCAAATAAAGCCTTCTCAAAACTTGTTTTGCAGCTTCCACTTGTGGGATCTGCGGACCTGGTGCCAAACCAGAAGCGGCATCCCATATTAAGAGCAGACAGCTGACAGAAGGCACCCGCATACATTTAAGGGAGAGGCTTTGGACGTGCCTTCAACCAGACGGGCCACTGGTCTTCCTAAGCGCAGTTGGGCCAGATTCCACCTGGCAGTGACTCTCCCGGGTCTCGGGCAGAGAAGAAAGGTCTTTCCCAACACCTGATGCCAGAGATTCAACCTGGGACCCACTGAGTTTTCTTGGAAAGGCCCTCCCCCATGGCAGAAAGCCGACAATGTGGCCGTTATAACTTGGCAGTATGGGTTTTCAGGAATGAAAGGGCAACAGTCATACCGCCCCCTCCCCACTCACCTTCGGTGCTTGCTTGTATACGAAGGGGGTTGCTCCAAACAGGTATCGATCACAGCCTGCCTCAGGTGCGCTTCCTTCTTGCTGCGTAGCTACGGCAAGAGAAGAGGGTCAAGTCTGCCACTAAGGCAAGGGAAAAGCAATGTGAGCCTAATGAGACCTTTGCAGAGCAGAGCAGGGAGGTTCCAGGTTTGGGCAGGGGTGTGTGCTGCAACGGCCCCCGTCCTTCTAGGAAGAAATAGTCCCAACACTTCCCGAAGGGCCGCACTCTCTTCTCGGGATGGGGAAGAGCAATGAAGAACAGCAGTAAATGGAACTTGAACTGGGAACCACACTGAAGCGAACTACGTGACTGTAGACATTAATGGTGGAGGGAGCAGTTTGGGGGGTGGGGGAAGGTGCAAAGACGCCTGCTGTCTGCGGGCAACTGCATCCAAAGGATCAGAACGGCCGCACTCGCGCCACAGCTTGTGCAGAGCCACATTTGCAATCACCCCCAACCAGCAGAGCCTCGTGAACTTCCCTCCCTGGCACGAGGCCTGCCTCTCAGCGAGGTTTGTAGCTGCCCCCGTTCCTCCGGCAGTAGCTGTTTCAAGGCGGGAACCACCTGCCAGCCACAAGCCCCACCGGGCAAGGGCCTTGACCACTTTCCTGGGGAAGCGATGCTAGACCACACGGGCGAACAGCGCTCAGAAGCAGCACAGATGGGATGTGTCAAAGAGCCACGTGCGGCACCTGAGCCGCCGTGCGGGTTTCACCGGGTCAGACTATCCGTACCTTGCCTTATGTGGCTCGGAAGCAGAGACAAGGTCATCGCAGGGTTATTTTACAGGCGGCATACATGTGGGCCTTCTGTTATCGGAAGAATCCCACTGCTCTGCAGACCCCACGATGGCTCTCTCTGGCTAAGAAAAGCCCAGATATCAAGGACCGGGGAGGAATGTTGGAAGCTAATCTAGTTCCAGTTCACAGCCGGGAACAGCAGTGCAGTTGACGGGCAGGAAGGAAAACATAAGAACATAAGAACACAAGAGACGCCAATGTTGGATCAGGCCAAAGGCCCATCCAGTCCAACACTCTGTGTCACACAGTGGCCAGAAATACCAGGTGCCATCAGGAGGTCCACCAGTGGGGCCGGGACATTAGAAGCCCTCCCACTGTTGACCTCCCCCCCCCAAGCACCAAGAAGACAGAGCATCACTTGCCCCAGAGTCCCTATCTATACCTTGTGGCTAATAGCCACTGATGGACCTCTGCTCCATATGCCTATCTAATTCCCTTTTGAAGCCGTCCATGCTTGTAGCCGCCGCCACTTCCTGTGGCAAACCTTTCATTCCCTGGGAACTCAAGCGCTCGCCTGTCCAGAGCACTGAGAAGGGAGGTGCTGGATGTCCAGGAGCTGTCTCGGGGAGGCCCACCCGGAGATTTTCAAAACCTAGCCGCCCGAGGGCTCCAATTGAGTTGACAGGCAAGTCTGATTCAACCCCTGACCTCCTGCCCTGGGGTCACCGCAGTTCCAGCAGCTCTTGCTGCTCACAGAGACCGGAGGGACGGCGTTTAAAAAAAGCAGTGCAAGCTGCACAACCAGAACTGAGTAGCCTGTGCAGAAAGATCTGCCTGACAGCAATGGTGAGTAGCAGAAACAAAGTTACACCGGACAGGCTGGTAGGAGGATAACTCTCAAGCTCCATAGGCTATGCACACGATGGCAGGACCCTGCCCCAAGGAGCTTACAATGTCAAATTCACCACAGGGTGGAAGATGACAGAGAGAAGGGGTGGGATTTGGGGTGTGGCTTTCTTTTAAAGCGCCTGCTATGCACAGGCCGAGATGAGCACTGAATTGTGAAAAGGCTAAAAGGGACAGCAGAAAGCTTTGGGGTTCTTTGGTCCCAGGAGCTTTGCTGCACGCCAGATCTCCAGGCGCTGCTTCTGCGTGTGCCACTCGCCTTCCGCCAGCCCAGGCTTTCGCCTCGCACCCGGCAGCAGTGTCAGTCCCTCAGCTTCCATTGCGGTTACGAGTCCCGCCAGTTCCGCTCCTGCCACCCAGCTCCCCAAACTGGAATCTCCGAGATTTCCCAATCGGGCCTCCACAGAGGCTGGGAGCTCCCTGCACGGGTGTGAGAAGCACACATCCCAGGGAGGAGGTTCGGCGAGTTTGACACCTGCTGTGTGGAGAGGAGGAGGAGGAGGAGGAGGAGGAGGTCAGGCAAAGCGAATCACTCACGTCGTTCTGCTTACGCTGCAGCTCCTCCAGCAGGGCCAAAGTATCCTCATCGGCGAGGTCGCAGGGACGCTGGCCCTAGATGGGGTGGAGGCAGGGAGATGACTGAGGGCAGCCCCGTTAGAGATGCTGCCAAACGGCGCTGCCCAGCAGATCGAAGTTGCACAGTGGGCACAGCGATCCCCCCCCCATCCTGCCTCCAAGCCACACCAAGGGCTTCCATGACCCCTCACTGCTACCCCATTCACCAGGCTACCACCTCTCTGACTCAAAGGGGCCCCATTCTGCAGGAAGCGGTGAGCCTTACTGGTATGAATGGGGTGTGTGTGTGTGTGTGTGTTTGCAATCCAAATGAGTGGAGATGATCTGGAATTACACGTAAAGGAGAGAGAGAGAGTGTCCCTCTCGTAAGAACGGAAGAGGAGCCCCGCAGGATCAGGCCGGCACCCCGTCTCGCAAAATAGCCAACCAGTTACTCTGGAGGGCCAAAAACGGGGTGTAGAGGCCGAGGCCTTCCCCTGATGTTGCCTCCTGGCACTGGTATTTACTCCAATGCTCCTTCCCCTAGAACCAGCCTTTGAAAGGACGTACTTCCATGGCTACTTCCATGGCATCCCTCCCCCCTTGCCAACGAAACTGCTCAGTTTTTTCCAGACCTCTTGTAACAATTGCCTTGCCACACGCGAGGTCTTGAGCCTCCTGTTCTGGAATTCCACCCGTCGCCTAGCCTACCAAGCACCGTGGGTACAAAGCTGCCCATCTCAGACTGCCGTATTGAACCCGGAATTGTCTGCTCGGACTGGCAGCTTGTCTCTGAGGTCTCGGGCCGAGAAGACACTTCCCCAGAGCCGCTAAGCGAGGACCCGCAGAGCCAGACCTGCTTGGTCTTAAAGCGCATCCTCCTCGGCCGTTTCTCTCGCTCCCCTGACACCACTCACCACGTTGTTGAGTGCCTCCATCTCACAGAAGTGCTCTGCCAGGAGGCGGCAGGCCTCCTCCACCCCCCAGTGGGCTGCCGCATGCAGGGGAGTCCAGCCGTCCTTGTCCTGCACGTTGGGCTCGTAGCCGGCCTGCAAGAGCAGTCTGAGAGGGAAGGAAGACACATGAAGAACCTGCCCCCGGGTCGGTCTGCCCCAGACCAGTTCTGCGTATCCTGACTGGCTGCGGCTCCCTCAGGCAGGTGTCCTTCACAGCACACAGGACCTGGTCCTATTTTCAACTGGAAATGCCAGGAATTGAACTTGGGACCTTCTGCACGCCAAGGAGATGCTCTGCCACTGAGCCACGCCCCCTCCCCTGAGACCCATCCACCTCTCAGGGAAGGGAACTGGGCTGAAGCAGCACGATTCTGGCGTTCTAGACTTTAACATTATTAAAGAAGGCAGGAATTCATGGGTTAGAGCAGAGAAGGTTCCAGAAATCAGAGCACCCAGGGTCTTTTGTGAAGGAACTGAGGTACAGTTACTTGGCCCAAGAGGTACACAGAAATACAACCCCCGAGTTATCTGGAACAGAGAGGAGATCCTGACTGTAGTCGAAAACTTTTGAAGGGTATGGCAGCTATATAGACAAAGCATTTTGGGGTCCTTCAGGGCAGACAGCAGGGTGTGTTGGAGAAGGTAGGAGGGAATAGGGATTAGAGTTTCCATGCCTTTTGGAAGGCAAAGAAAAGAGAAATCAGTGGCAGTGAAGCTGTGGGAACTGTTGCCCCATTTCATGTCAAGAAACTGGCCTTCTCTAGCCGTTTTTGGGCCTTTCATAATCTTTGGTTCAGGCTTTTAAGCTTAGTGAAGTCGCTAAATGCTCCTCTATATTACATAACTTGCAAGTCGGGGGGGGGGGGGGAGGATGGGATGGACAAAGGTGCAAATTAGATCAGGAGAGAGCTTTCCACTCGCATTCCTTCTCACTACAGCAAGAAACCCGGGGGTGGGGTGGGGGTGATAGTGGTGAATGCCTGATCGTGGGCACGTAACTAGCTGCAGAAGTGTGTGGCCCCATGTCTTAGCAACACACCTGATTGGCCAAATAGGATCAAGACAGCTGTGGGCCACCTGGCATAAAACAAGATAATCCATTCGAGTTTGTATTTCTGGCTTATCCTTTTGACGAGGGTGGGCCTAGCATGGCCAGAAAACCTACTTTTGGACTTCTGCTTGGACTTTGCACCTTTAGACTGACCAGGTAACATCTGGGTCAGATGACTAGAGCCTGAAATATGTATTTTAGGTTACCTATTTAGTTTATTTTCTTTCCGGTTTTTTCAGTGCTCTTCTATTTGTAACTTTTTGCACCTTTTTACAAAAATAAGCCTGAATAATTAATACTTCTGCGGTGTTATCGGAGTTTTGGGGCTTCAATCTAAGACCAGCACCTTGGCCTATTTTGACGACAGCTACCAAAGTAATTGTTTTTGGAACTCAGCTTCCAACTGTCCTGCCTTTCCAGAGCTGATGTTTTGATGAACACCTGGCCGGGCCAGAGAGTGCCAAAGAATAGATGCTTTTGAATTATGGTGCTGGAGAAGACCCCTGAGAGTCCCTTAAGAACATAAAAACATAAGAGACGCCAATGTTGGATCAGCCAAAGGCCCATCCAGTCCAACACTCTGTGTCACACAGTGGCCAGAAATACCAGTGCCATCAGTCCGGGCCAGAGAGTGCCAAAGAATAGATGCTTTTGAATTATGGTGCTGGAGAAGACCCCTGAGAGTCCCTTAAGAACATAAAAACATAAGAGACGCCAATGTTGGATCAGCCAAAGGCCCATCCAGTCCAACACTCTGTGTCACACAGTGGCCAGAAATACCAGTGCCATCAGGTCCACCAGTGGGGCCAGGACATTAGAAGCCCTCCCACTGTTTGCCCCCCCAAGCACCAAGAAGACAGAGCATCACTTGCCTTAGAGCCCCTATCTATACCTTGTGGCTAATAGCCACTGATGGACCTCTGCTCCATATGCTTATCTAATTCCCTTTTGAAGCCATCCATGCTTGTAGCCACCACCACTTCCTGTGGCAGTGAATTCCATGTGTTATAATCACTCTTTGGGTGAAGAAGTACTTCCTTTTATCCGT